TTTATGACGTTGATTTCAACTCCAGTGGTGGGATTCAACATTTTTTACTACCGGTTCTGTGGGTGTGGCTTGGGAGGCACGGCATTGCTTGGTGGGCATGGCTTGGGCATGGCAGGGGAAGGATACTGTAAAATCCCCATTCCCTCCCAATCAGCTTGGACTCAGGAGGCAGAGAATAGATGGGGCAGGGCCAGTGAGTGGTGGTATTTACCAGTTCTCCGAACTACTCAAAATTTCCGCTGCCGGTTCTCCAGAGCTGGCCAGAACCTGCTGAATACCACCTCTGTTCAACTCCCATAATTCCTGAGACAGCAAATAGAAGAAGATGATGGTAAACCATGTCCATAATGTTGTCAGAAAACAATAGTTTGCAGGATATTTTATCTGTGTAGTATGTCCCAACTAGATCAGATCTGGTGCCTCCACAAACTGAACTTAGCTGACAAATGAGCTGTTTATACAATCCATGGAGCATTTGCAGTCACTGGCTGCACTTAAAGTTCAAAACCTGTGTTTATATATGCAGCAGGTTGAAATGCTACTTACCCTCCTCCCTATATTCTTGAGATCATTTCATATGGGACATACTATAATTTTGTCTAGATAGTTATCAAAGCTTTCTAAGGGGACTCTGTATAAAGGATTCACCAAAGATATTATTATAACAACAATGTAGAATATGAACAGACTGAGCTGGAAGGCAGGGTTAAATGTGTCATTAGTTTGGAATCATTGCACAGCCACAAGAGACCCAAGTCCACCCCAACCTCCCATGAATTCTTTTGAAACTTATCTAGTGCCAATTCAGCTTTGGCCATTAGCTGATCAGGTTCTTGTGTATATGTAGCAATATTAAACTCTTCTGTGTCAGGCACAAGAAACAAGGCTGTTTAAATGAGAACAAGTTTATTCCATGCTAGCTCTCTACAAGAATCTGATCTGGTGGGCTGTATTTAGTTTTTTTGTGGGTGCGAAGGAACTCCAAACCAATGGCATGCTTGACCCTTCCCTCAAGTTCATCTCCTACATCCTGTGCTTTGAACTCAGCAAGTGTTCCTGGTTCTTTGCACCTGAAACAATCAGCTTTTAGCATTGTTACTGTAGTAGTTTCCATAATTAGTTTTAAATGTTCTACTCACTGTGAAGATGTTTTCTTTAAGGATTTTGTAAAAAGAAAATAAACCTGTCACCTAAATACACTTTTTCCTTCTTTTTGCATTGCAGTACAGAATTGGACAGCTGTACATGATCAGTAAACATAGCCATGAGCAGAGTGATCGTGGAGAAGGTGTGGAGGTGGTACAGAATGAGCCCTATGAAGATCCAAACTACGGGAATGGTCAGCTGACAGAAAAACGGGTCTATCTGAATAGGTAAAAGTTCCTGTAAGCCTTCTGCCATGGCATCCTCCCCTAACGCATATGCAGTTTTGGGAAGTAAACTGTGGGTTTAGTGCACTTTGCACCAATCCTCTGTTTGTGGCTTTATGAGAATCATGCGGTAGGACATACCAGGAGAATGGCCAGGATTCCTCCTATAAATTACATGTTTACTGGTTCAGATATGTGGCCAGTCGCTTCCTTCCTTCAATGTTAAAAACTTTGGAGAAAGGAAAGTTGTGAAAATGAACAGACATGTCAGCTACCTATGGACTCATACATTATGCTAAGTACAAAGCAGTGAAAAAGCAACTGAAATTATAAATAACATTAAGCAAACTATGTCTTTACATGAGGAAAAAAAACCACAGAACAGATAGTCCTCGACATAAAACCATTCATTTAGTGACTTTTCAAAGTTACAGTGGCGCTGAAAAAAAGTGAGTTATGAATGTTTTTCACACTTAAGACTGATCAAAATTTAGGTACTTGCCAACTGGCATGTATTTATGACAGTTGCAGTGTCCTGGAGCCACGTGATCACCTTTTGGACCTTCCGACAAGCGAAGTCAATCGGGAAGGTATATTCACTTAAAAACTGCCTTTCTAATTTGACAACTGCAGTGTTTCATTTAACAACTGTGACAGGAAAAGTCGTAAAATGGGACAGAACTCACTTAACAGCTGTCTTGCTTAGCAATTGAAATTTTGGGCTCAGATGGGGTCACAAGTTGAGGACTAGTTGTACAATATGTGGCCTGGATCATCAATGGGAATTGGTACTGATCAAAACTTGGGCAAATTACAGGTTACACTTATCAACATTTGTGCAGATTTGCATGAGCAAACCCCCCACAATCTCAAAGATTTATGTCAGGTTGTTATGTAAACAAACTCTCACTGAAATCCAACACGCTTTGTGAATGCTTGAAGATAATTTTATGGACCTGAGTATGATCGTGCTAGACTTTCTGCTCAAAAGGAATCAGAGATTAATTTGTTCGTTTTTTTTCCTATGGTTATTTTCTACAGTATCTGATGCATTAGATACAACAGAAGAGAAAATGATATTGCCATAACTTGAGGCTCAGCGAAGTAAATACATCTGAAACTCCCAAATCAGTAACAAAAACCTTTCCAGGGAAAAAAAACTTGCCTTTAAAATAAAATTCTTTTTGGTACCAAGGTCAAAATCTGACCTTGTTTCCATTTGTTCAACCTCAGCAACTTGGATAAAAATCAAGTCTGGCTCACAGCATACGAAGAACTGCTTACGACAGGAATATCCAACCTAGCTTCATAAGAAGTATTTTAGTGAGCTCCTTAGGCGGCAAAATATCTTGGTAAAGAACAGCACCCATCATGAATGATTACTAACCTTGTGCATCACTGCCCCAAAGCACCACTATTAATGATTTATCGCGTGAAATACTTTTTCTTGTCTGATACTTTCTTAAACAAAGTCTGCATATTTTGTAAGATACTTGTTACTTTTACTGTCCTTCAAGAGATATATTGTGATTTCTAAAAATTATACATATTGCTTCATCTACCACTGTCATTTGATTAGTGGTGGTCTAACTAAATATTGATGCCTTCCTTTTTTTGCCTGGAAGCCTGGGGTCAATGGACTTCTATTGAGCTTGTGGCCTTGGTAACAGACATAGCAACTATGTGCCCCTTACATCAGGCAGCGCAGCCCTGGAATCTTGATACTTCTGACCTTTTGTAAGTGTAGCATTTACGTTACCAGCTATGTTCAAGTTGAAAAAAATCTGTGGAGGCAAAATGTTTCTTTAAGCTCAACCACAGCTTTGCCCTCAAAACCAGAACTGAGTATGTAAATCAGCCTTGCGTGCAGACGTCTCATTCCAAGCATGTCTAGAAATATATCTTTATCTGACTGAAGAAAAATGAAGAACCTATTGAGATAGATCTTTTGGAAGGGATTGTCAGAGCTTGCATGAGATTGGATGCTTGCTTACTTTTACTGACATCAGTGGAACAGATAAGTAGCAACAAAATGTTAGAGTTAGTTGCCAGACTTTGTTTGTTCAAAGAAAAAACCCAAGAAAGTCCAGTTGCCCCTTTTGGGACAACCATGTCCTGGATGATTGAGAATCTTCATAGACATTTGCCAGGCTGAAAGTTTGCCTCCAGCAGGCCTGATGTTACAAAAGGTGCGGGGAAAGTACTTTAATCAAGAAAAGTATCCAGGAAAATGCATTCAGCATAATTCCTCATCCACAAATAATATCAGGAAAATAACCTGCATTAGAATCCCACAAAGAGGAATAGTTTCTTTAGACCAAGCATTAACAAGGCTTGGAGGCCACAGTATAGGCCATGGAGATGAAACTCATGGCATCACATTGCCATCACGAGACGTTTCGTGCTGTTTTTCTCTTTCATGGAGCGGGCGTGGGGGTGGCCTGCGCATGACGCATCCAGCCCGTGGGCCGCCAGTTTGACACCTCTGGTATAAGCAAAATAGATATTTTCCAAGGGAAGTTGGACTTGCCTGTGAGAATAAAGTGACTCAGGATTTCACCTCAGAACATGTTTCACATCTATATTTCAAGTGAGGTAATGCCATGCAGATCTCCACATAAAATAGCCTAGTTCTAATAAAAAACCATTATTCGACATAGATTGAAGATTTGCAGAGTGTAATTCTTATGAATTTTGCCTTAATTGCTTTTATGGTCATTTTATCTTTATTAGCATAGAATGGATGCTGTAAAGTAGGAGGCTTAGTACCCTTGTTCTAAATAATTTAACTACTGTGGGATAGTTATTACCATTTGCTATGGAAAAAAAAATAATGTTCTAAGCCTTTGGGGCACATTTATTGTAATTTCTCAGATTTTGTTGTTTCCAAGTACTAGGAAATTGAAAGTGGGTTGCTAAATATTTGAAAACCTTAATCTGTTTAGTGTGGACATTATTCCCCCCCCCCCCAATTACGATGGTAGTTGGAACATCTCTTATTCAATACGACTGCCTCCATTTTAGAGTGAAATGAAGGTTCTTTTTTATTATGGCAGAGTATTACTAGTGGCTGGAGACTGGGTATAGGGTCTCTTGCTTGAGCAGAGTTTCTTCCAAATCTCTTATTCTGTTATTCTAATCTATGATGAAGGGTAAACTGATTCATGTAAAAAATGATGACATCATCTGCAGAATGGAAGATGGAAATGGGCTGATGAATTTAAATTTAAAGAAGCCTGTACTATAGGATTGATATGCAGATACTCCTTGACTTGACTCCTTGACTCCTTGAGTTTACTTCATCCTTAGCTGTAGCCTGATAACAACCACAAGGTATGGTGAAAACTGTAATGGTTTGCCACATCTTATTTCAAAAGTGGAGTGTCTAATACTTAGAGCATCACTTACTGGTTGTTTAAGGTCGATGTGACCAAGCTCTGTCTCCACCATTCTGTAATCAGCCATGTCTGCCGTCATTCTGCTACTGTCTTCTTAAAGTGTGGAGAGAGTGTCCATTGGCACTGTACATTGATGCTAAACTACCCAACCATCAGTATTGGTAGAACATAAGGAAGATGATCTTGACAGATAGGCCAGATCTGTTACTATGCAGTAAGCAGAAACGCATGACTTTTCAAAACTAGTAGACAGTCTGTATAATGGGCTTAAATCTCCCTTCCCATCCAATATCTTACAAAGCAAACAGAAATATTGGCCTGCAGTTATACACTGTGGCAGATTATTTCAATTTTAAGATACTTTCTATCTTAAAGAAGGCGTTAACCACCCTCTGTTCTCCATCACCCTTTTCAATTGCCAAGAAAGATGCTAATTATATTTCATTACTTAATATAGTTTCAGTTGAAATTGGGTATTGAAAGCAATGCTATATGCCAAAATGCATTGTTCCATTTATATCAATTAAATTACTGAGGGCGTGAATTCCTTTGTCTTTAACTGGTACAGCCTATCTGTCACTTTCACAGATGAGAACTTGTAAGTCTGTTTAGGGTATCCAGAAAAAGAAAGTTTTTAATAAGTTTTCATTCCATCTTGCATGAAATTTCCCAAACCCACATGTTAATATTTTGTATAGNTCTTCTCTCCTTCCTTTCTTCCTCCTCTCCTTTCCCTTCTCTCCTTCCGGAATGGGGATTTTATAATATCCTTCCCCTGCCACGCTCATGAAACCACGCCCACAAAACCACACCACGCCCACAAAGCCACATCTACAGAAGCAGTAGTAAAATAATTTGAATCCCACCACTCGGGGGGGGGGTGTGTCCATCAATGGTGAAGAGTTTTTACAGTGTCTGTACTGAGTCTGGCACACTTAATTTTGCTACTGATCATGTTTATTTTTATCCGAGTGGTTATTGATCATTTTTTGGCATATTGGTTTTTAACCTGTTTTCTTATTGTTTTTGTTATGAGCTACCCAGATGAGCTGCCCTACAGAGCAAATAAATAAATAAATGGAAGTAGAAAGGGTATGATAAAATATAGCAGAAGAAAAAGATCACAAAAAGTCTGCTTAATAAGAAAAAAAATGTGAAGATATGGATAGACATGGTAAGGTTTTTCTTAATCAATAGGATCAGCCTGTTAAAAATAACCTAAACACAATTAGTTGTCTCACCTGAGTTTGTCACTTCTTCCAGAAAAGTTGGTGAGTCCTATCAAAGCTTCATAATTTTGTAGCCCATCGCGCTCAGTATTCAACAAACTGACCAGTGGCCGCACAACTTCATACACCTGGATGAAAACAATAGTGTACAATCTAAATGTTAAGGGGCCTGGCATAATGAGAAGAAGGAATAACCTTGAGGCACATAAGGAAGAGTTGCAACCAAAATAACTTTTGGAAAAAGGAAATAGGAGTTTTGGCTAAAACTGTAAGCTTAGGCAAGACCTTCCTTGGTTGTTACAAAGATAATGAGAAGGGGGGGGGATTCAGACTTGCAAGATTCTTTGGTTTTATAATAAAAAGTTGTGTTTATTAG